GAGGGTGAGGGCGGAGCGAGGCGGGGAGGGCCGCCGCGGCGCGAGGGGGAGGTGGCGAGAAGAGCGCCCGTCCAATAGTCCTCCCTGCCAAACACGGGCCCCTCGATCACGTCGTACGCCGTCGTGAACCAGATCGCGAGCCCGTCCCCGAAGAGGTACTGCCGCCGCACGGGAGGGAGAGCTCAGCGGAAGCCGTGCACGTGAGGCGTGCAGAGGGCGGCAGATCGGAGGGCAAAGTTGGCGCGGGGTGGGCGAGGGGAGAAGAGGTGTGCGCGGCCGCGATGAAGCCAAGCTGGAGCCGCTCGCCGGCAGCAGGCGGGCGCGAGGCGGCGTGGCAGCGAGGCGGCAGGGCGGCGCTGCTCTCGCGGCACGCCTGCGACTCGCCCGTCGCGCGCAGCTCCATCGCGAGGCTCCACTCGCCGCCCTCGAAGGAGTTGCGGTTGGCGATCCACCCCTTCTGCGACTGCTTCTCCGCCGTCAGCCGCACGAACCCCCTGTGCGCCACCGCGGAGCCGCCCAGCTCCCAGTCGGAGATAACGCGCATGCCCGTGAAGTCGTTTACGGCCTCGAACGGCGCCATAAAAGAGTGCTTCATGATAGGTGCGCCAGGAGCCTGCGCCGCGGCGGCTGCAAAGCAGCCCGCAGCGAGCACGAGCGGCCGCGTTCGGCTTGTAGAAGCGTGGCTTTGCGGCATGTCGCGGCGCGCTGTGATGTGTCAGCAAGTTCACTTTTCTTTCGCCTCCCTCCGCCGCCCTTCACGACGGATACCTTTCTACCTACCTACCTACCTACGGATAATGTAGTCCCCACACTCGCTGTCGTGGGATCGCTTGTCGTGTGAGAGACTGCGTTATATTCTTGTTTTGTAAGCGGTTTCTCTTTTCTTGTGCGAGATTGCAGATTCTTTTGTGGTTGGTGTCCAGTCAGGGCTCAGGCGGCTCAGGCGTCAGGGAGCTGGGGAGCCTCTCTGGGAGTGGGACTGTTCTTCACCTCTGATCCGGTCCTACCGATGTGCATGGAAGGACATGCGTCATGCCACAGGCACAGCAACCAGGACCAGAGCAAGAAAATGGCCTTCAGACACGAGTACTTGCCCGTCCTTGTGACGTAGTCTGTACGCTCTCTCTTCTTCCCG